TCCCTCTGCCCGGGGTCGGCGCCGCTCGGGACCGGAATGGAGGGTGTGGGCAGCTGCACGCGCGCCTCCGGGTCTAGGAATGCGCCGCCTTGGGCCACTGTCCCTCCCCGCTGCGACCCAGGTGCTTTGCACTCGAATCCTGCGCGCTGCTTCTATCTTTCCAAAGCCGAAGCTCGGATTAAGCTCCTGGAGGGGCTAGCGACTCGGATGGTGCCTGACACCACGTAGGGTTCGATGCATATACGTTGAATAGGCTCAGCGGTGAAGTGACCTGTTCAAGGTCACAGTTCGTGAAAGGGCGGCGCTGGAATTCAAACCTGGGACCTCATGGTAACTGAGCTTCACTTGGCCGGGATGGCCTTGGGAACAACACGCATGTGTAAATCTCTAATCATCAGACCCTTAGACCGTACGCCCCAATTTTTCTTTTTTTAAAAATATAGAATCCATGTTTTAGCTCTAACTCCTCATAGTAGCCTTGTTAGGGTCAACGTCGGGAACGTTGTTCCTGTTTTAAAGATGCGGAAAATAACGTTTTGCGATGTGGTGTGGCTTGAGATCACACAGCCTGATAGTGGCGGAGTTTTTATTAATCCGTATGTGTCTTACGACTCCAGTTTCTATATTTTTAATCTCAGCCTGGAGAAATGAAGAGGGGACCAGAAAAGGTGAGAGAGAGGTTGTTTTCCCTTTTGTGAAGTGGGCATGAGATTATTCCTCATTCACTGTGGTTGGGCTGTCTAAAGAAGAGAAGTGTGGAAAGGGAGCATTGAGGCTTAGCATCTTATTTAAGCAGGGAGCTGTAGTGAAGAGCATTCTGGACTAGAGAGTAAACAATTAGTACATGAAAGACACTTGGAACACTTGCCTGGTCCACAGTTGAGCACTTACCGTGTGAGCTGGTGGTCCTAGCTTTTACTCTGTGACTTTGGGGCACGGTTATGTCACATGCCTAGCCCATTCAGCATCACTCAGAATGTCTGTTAGGTAGTGATGTTCTTTTAGGTGGTGTCTGTCCCCAGAGCCCAAAACTACTAGTTAATTAGCAAGTGAAGTGAGGGGAATATGAATTATTAGAAGTAGATAAGATTGGGGTTGGCCAGTTGTGGCCAGTGGACTGGATCTCCTGTGGCCTGATTTTGTTTACACATAAGTTAAGAATGGTTTTTTATGTTTTTAAAAATATGTTTTGTCTTTGTATTTTTTTTTAAAAGACTATACTACAGAGACCTTATGTAGACTGCAAAGAATAAAATCTTTACTCTCTGGCCAACACCTGTATTGGATTTAGCATCCGACATTTGGCATTTACATGTGGCTCCATAATATGTGAAAAGTATGCTTCTCCAAGTCATAAGATCACCTGCCCTTTCAAGAACGTATGGTTATACCACCACCATTACTAAGAGAGTGTTGTGTACAAGGAACCGTGTGTGGGGATGTTCCCATCTGCAGGTAACTCATAATCAGGCAGAAAGACAATAATAGTTATCACATTTACTTAATACCCAGAACCAGGTACATGGTAGGTTAGTATTATTACCCTTATTTTACAAAGGAGGAAACTGAGATAGAGAGAGCATTACCTTGCCCAAGAGCACACAGCAACGAAGTGGCATTAAACGTAGAAACTTGACCCCAGGGTCTCCCTTGTTTCTCACTACACTTTACTGCATCTCTTGTGTGAACAGTGGTTGTAGGTGAATGTTCCAGGGCTGCAGAAGAGTGTTGGGGAGGGATTCAAATATGGCTGCCAAGGACTAAGGCCTTTGTCTTCCACTAAAAGAAAATTCTTGGAATTAGTGTAGAAACACCTCTGATGAATCAGATGGTGCCTTTGGGTTTTGTGATGGTACTGAACTTGCTCTCCTTAAGGCTAATGTGTTTTTGTGTGTGTTTTGTGTGTGCTTATACCTTTTTTAATTTTGATCACAAAACAATTGTCTTCATAATATACAGATAGAAATAGGCAGGAAAAACATGGTAAATTGTTGACTATTTCCTACTGTGATGTGCCAGGCAACATGCTAGCCCCTGAACATGGGCATGAGAATGCAGAATATGCTTGCATAGTTTATATGAATGTGAAAAGATAGCTTTACTAGGTCTAGAAGTGACCTAGACTTGGAATGAGCCATTTCATGATAAGGAAACTGGAGCTCTATGGTTATACAGGAATGAAGTAGTGGTGCTTTGAAATAGGGCAGGCAGGGAAGGAGGCCTCTGAGGAATCGACATTTGAGGTGGCCCTGTGATGGTGTAGGGCCAGTGCAAATGCAGAGGCCCTTGGATGAGAATAATCTTTTACATATGAGAAACAGAAAGGGGATTGGGGGAGGTGGCAGGGTGGATGAATAGGAGATCATTGTTCTACCAGTAGAAGGTTAGCTCTTTGAGAGCAAGGCTCTCTTCTGTAGTCAGTGTTGTATCCACTGAGCACGCTACCTGCTCCATATTTGTTGGATGAGGCTAGATGGAAGGTTAGGACCCGTTTGTTTGGGTCAGGCAGCCTAAATGATATCCCTAAAGCCATGCATAGGAGTTGTAGGCTTATGCGTCCCCCTATCACTATGGGCTCTGGACAGCCATTCATTAAGGCTATGTGTCTGGGTCTCCAGGTGACCCAGAGCAGATTAGAATCTGTCCATTGCCGGGCATGGTGGCTCACGCCTGTAATCCCAGCACTTTGGAAGGCGGAGGTGATTGGATTGCCTGAGCTCAAGGGTTTGAGACCAGCCTGGGCAGCTTGGCGAGACCTGGTCTCTACAATAAATTAAAAAATTAGCTGGGTGTTGTGGCGCACACCTGTAGTTCCAGCTACTTGGAAGACTGAGGCGGAAGAATTGCCTGAGTCCAGTCCAGCAGGTCGAGGCTGCAGTGGCCATGAATGTGTCTCTGCACTCCAGCCTGGGCGACGAGTGAGACTCCAACTAAAAAAAAAGAAACTGGCCATTAAGCCTTGCATTTCTGTTGATGGCCTAAAAGCCCTTGCTCTTGCAAAGTGTTGGGGGATTTCAAGAGACCTGTGGGGTTTCTTTCAGTAGACTCTTGAGGCTAGTTCTGAGGGAGCCTGTCTTTCTTTGGATCCCCAAATGGAGAAGAAACCTTGGAGTGATTTAGTCTGGCTCCTCCTCTGGTTATCTGTAAGAAGGCACAGTGGTCCTTGACTCCTTGCCCTGAAGAGGATACAGGCTGAGTTTTTTTCTGGGGAGCGATCTTTAGCTGGGCATAGTAGTGCAGGCCTGTAGTCCCAGCTACTCAGGAGGCAGGAGGATTGTTTCAGGCCAGGAGTTCAAGACCAGCCTGAACAGCATAGCAAGACCCCCATCTCTACAAACAATTAAAAAATTAGTCAGTGGTGGCGTATGCCTAGAGTCTTAGCTCCTGAAGAGGCAGAGGCAGGATTGCTTGAATTCAAGGCTGCAGCATGCTATCACGATCGTACCGCTGCTCTCCAGCCTGAGCAACAAAGTGAGACCTCATCTCTTAAGAAAAAAGAAATTGGTCTTTGTGGGGTATACGGGGGGCATGATTCCCTCCTTATGAGCATCTCCTGGACACCCACAGGTGCACCCCTTCCCTGGCCCTCCGTACTTACTTCTTGGGCTCAGAGATGAGTACAGAGTGGCCTCAGCAGGATCCCTTCCTGTTCTCTGTCCTCAGACTCATTGGCATGTGGCGTGGGGCCTGTTGGATCGCTTGGTGTGATTTTTTTTTTACTAGGTCAGCTTATGTTGTCTCTTATTTCTACCTCTGGAGATGGTTGACCTCTGTGGTCCCAGGACGCTTGTGGCAGAAATTTCTTACGCTTCCTTTTATTAACTTATTCAGGCTGGCACGTCAGGGAGGCTGTCATGTGCACTCTGGTGCTCTTTGACTCCCATCCCCAATAAACAAATGCCTCTTGTTCAGGTGAGACACTCAAGGGCGTGTCTCACCACTCTCCTTCCACATCCCGTCTTGTACATTCTCCAGCCACAGGTCCCCAGGGATCGACAGGCTACTCTCAGATTGGCTTCAGGGCATGGGGGCCAGTCCTGAGTCCTGCCTCCATGCTCCGTGCGTGACCTTGGCCAGCCTCTCCTCCCCTCCCATAAGGTAAAGGCATCGACTACTGATTGCGAAGATTGAATAAGCTAATGAGGCAAAGTAAACGTTCATTTTGCAATAATCTATTCTATCCTCCACTTTATTGCTTTGTTCCTCATGACCCTTAACTCCTTTTTAGGGTTATTCCCAGCAAACTGTTATTCAGACATCCTGTGGATTAATAAAGCTGTTACTGCAGCAGCCCTGCCATTATATAGACTCAGCCCTGAAATAGATTTGATGTAATATATTTATCCATATTATTTATGTGCATTTTAGCTACTGTGATATGCAGTTACATTATGTGCTTTTAATGAATAGCTGAAATAGTGACAGGAAGGGATACTCTTTGTTATTACTGGAGATTATTCAGTGGGTGTATTTTTTTGCTCTTCTCTTTCAGTACCAGTGAAGGAGAAGAAACTCATGGATGTCAAACTAGGGGAGCTTCCAAGCTGGATATTGATGCGGGATTTCACCCCTAATGGCATACTTGGAGCATTTCAAAGAGGTCAGAGCCTTATGGATGTGTGTAAACAAAAGCAGATCTCTGGGTCTTCAGGTCTCTTTTTGCCATGAATTGATTTACACAATAAAAGCTTTGTCTCAGACCACTAAGATCTGTAGAGAAGGACAGAGAGGGGGTTTTCCTTGGATTTCCATGTTTGATTGGTTTTCTATTGCTAGGAATCAGTACCTCTGCCTCTGTCTTAAATAAATGTCTTTTCACTTTTTTACATCCTAAGACTTCTTAAAGAGGACACTGAATTTGAACCATAGTGGACATCAGTCTGTAATATAATGGTCATCTCCCTGCCACAACTTCCAAGACAGATATTAGAAATGGCCTCTTCTTAGGATCTGTGCATTTAAAAAGTGCATGACTAGTGAGATCAGTCCCATATAACCTGTTAGTTACATCATTCCACAAATAAAGATCCAAATCATTCCCCCAGGGACTTGAAAGGTCTTCTGGTGGGCAGGGGAGAGAGCCCTCCCGCTTCTCAAATTCTGGTCGCCTTGTGGATGTCTTTTGCCTTTCCTCTGACCCTAAGGCCTCTCCTCAAGCTTTGTCCCCAGATTAGAATACTCTGCCTCTTCCCCACACCCAGTTCCTACAGTCCCTGCCTACTTGGGAGGTGCATGTGGCCCAGTCATCTGACAGCTCCCTGCCCTGCTTCTTCATAGCATCCCTTACCATTTAAACTACATATGTCTGTGATCATGTCATTCTTTTTTTTCTTTTTTTTTTGAGTTGGAGTCTCACTCTGTCACCCAGATTGAAGTGCAGTGGCCACTCCCGGCCACCGCAGCCTCGACCCACTGGGCTCCGGCGATCCTTCCGCCTCAGCCTTCCGAGTAGCTGGAACTACAGGCACGCGCCACCACGCCCAGCTGATTTTTGATTTATTGTAGAGATGAGGTCTCACCTGCCCAGGCGGGTCTCCAACCCGCGGGTTCAGGCAATCCACTCGCCTCAGCCTCCCAAGGGCGCAGGATTACAGGCTGAGCCACCAAGCCCGGCTCACTTCATTCTTTCATCCACTAGGCTGTGGGCCCAAGAGGGTGGAGACTATACTTGTTTCCTCCCTGGTGGGTGCACATCTGGATGTTGTGAGGTACCCACACAGGAGCCTTCCTTCTCCCCAAAAGCCTGGCTGACCCTGCTGTCCATGGCCGAGTGACCCTTGTGTCAGGGGTTGGAGTGTGGCTCAGAATTAGGGAAAGGGGCTCCCCAGGACTGGGGCGAGAGCTGAGGAAGGATCAGAGGCCTGCAAGATCAAGGCCAAAGGATAGAGGCAGAATCAAAGTGGGCCGAGTTCAGGCCATGGTCTTGGGCCTGGGGATCAGAGACCTTATGGCATTTGTGCCTTTCATCTTCATCAGCCAGTAAACGTGTGGCTTAAAGAGCCAGCGTAGGACTGGGTCTCTGCATTTCAGCCTGACTCAACTGCGCATGCAGCCTGGCAGACCGTGAGCACCTCTTGTGTTTGCAGGGTACCACCGCTACTACAACAAGTATATCAACGTGAAGAAAGGGAGCGTCTCCGGGGTTTCTATGGTGCTGGCGGCTTATGTACTTTTCAGCTACTGCCTTTCTTACAAGGAGCTTAGTGAGTACCTCTGGGCTGCCTTGCCTTCAATTCTCCGAGAGGTTGATGTTGGTTCATTTTGTGAGACAGAGCAGCCGACTTTCTTGAGGCTGAGGGACCTTTAGTGTGTTCTTACCTACATTTCCACCTAAAAGAATTGGAGGAGCTTAAGAGTACAGCATATGAGATACTGTTTTCAGTGAGAAAATTGTGACAGAACATAGGAAAAAACAGATGAAACTGGATGAAGATAATACTTGGAAGACCAGGCTCTGCTGAAATTTGGCTTGATCTTCCTAGCAGCCAGTACGAAGAGTGAAATAGGTTGATTGGCACAATCCAGTGTCTGTATGATGCTCTGGGCAAGCACCATGCAGACACTGGCTTTGAGAACTGGAAGGAGTTGGTGGGAGATGGCAGGAAGAGTCTGTGGCAGCCGCTGACCAGACTTCACGAGCTGTTCCTGAGTGTGTAGCTCCCTGCCAGTTGGCCTCACCAGGGCGATGCTGCCTCTGAAGGGTGAGTCACCTGGGGTTGTCTGAGCAGGCATTCTGTCTGGAAAGGAAGGAGGCTGGCCAGGTGGCAGGTTGGTTCCAAGATGCCTTTGTGCCCCCAGGTCTGCTAGTTCTTCTGAGACACACTGGCAAGTGGGTTCCAGGTCATCTGAAAGAACTCTCAGGAAGGCTGGCTCTGCATAATTTTAGCCTACCACTGTCTCTGTCATTGTGCTTTCACTATCATCTTTTAAGATACTTAACATTTTGCCTTCCTGACTTCAGAACATGAGCGGCTATGCAAGTACCACTGAGGAGGGTGCACTCTGCTCTCCTGACCATGACCTCCTTGGCCCAGCACCCCTCCATGAGGAACTTGACCGTTGCTGAATCCTTTCATACCCTAATGAGAACACCTTAATAAAAGATGACTAGTACCTGTGATGCCTGTCTGCTGTAGCTGTTTCCCACACTTCAGCGGTTCTCACTACAAAAGGAGGGGGGCGATGTCAGACAGCCCAGGGTTTTGGCCCATGAAGCCTCTAGCATTGTCCCAGCTCACTAGAAGACAGGGTGTTGCCTAGAATTTTCCCCACCGAAGTACCCAGGAGGTCTGTTCCCTGCCATGAGATGTGGGCATTTGAAGGCACCTTAGCCTATTGTTGCAGACTGTTCCTAAGAATGCTGGACCACACTCCTGGCCATCATGTGGCTCGAGACGGGACTTTTTTGGGTGGCCTGATGTCTTCTCAGCCCCTTTTCTAATGTTATGCTGGGGCATCCGGGACCTACAGGGTGGTGGCCCAATATAGCCCTCCGGAAGGACAGGCATCTCTAGCAGGACAGGGATGAGGGAAAGGCACAGGGCCTGATGCCAGCTCGCCGTTGCCCCGTGTCTGGCACCCCCTTCCTTCCTCAGAGGCCTTCAGGTAGCATGAAGGCCAGCACCAGTCTTTGCCGAAGCATCTGCAGGGAGTATGTACATCGGTGGGGTGCTGTGCCCAATGAACAGACAAGATCCTGCCTGCATCTGGGCTGAAGGAAGGGGGACCCGTCATCAGCCAGCTGCCCCTACAGAGCCTTTCCTGGCCAGCATCGCTTCCCTTTGAGATTCACATTTGTTGAGAGGGATAAGAAAGCACCGATATCTCAGCATTATGCAGAGGAGCTAGTGCAACCAGCCTTAGAGTCATCTTGTCGGCATGGAGTCCCTTAAGTACTGAGACACAGCTTATAAAACGAGCTTTAATCAACCATAAAAATTCTTCTTGTAGTTGAACTTGGATAGGCCCACTTGCCCAGCAGGTTGCAGGTGAGTTTCACATTTTCCAGGCTCAGGGGCAGGGCAGTCTCCTCCGCATGCCACAGGTGTCTGAGCAACAGTACGGATACTTGACCGGGAGGTAGGCACAGATGGGCCGGGTCGTCATCTGAAGGTCTGCAGCTCCAACTCAGGGCACACCTTGAATGCTGTCGGGTGCCCCAAGAGAAAATGGCCCAGAGGAAAAAGAGAACCTCAACCCTGAGAGCCCCACACCCCTCAACTGCTGCCACCTGGGACCACCAGGCTGGGGAAGAGGGCACAGGAGTCTGCCATGAAGGGCCCCTCATTCAAATCACGTTGACAGGCGCAGCTTCAGGATTCGGCAGGAGGGGGAGACCATAGGCATGATCTGGCCACAGCTTTGAATGACCCACCAGCCCTTGGAGTCACCAAGAACTGGTGTTTAATGAGGCTCCAATGGGAAAGGCCATGTCTACACAGAGCTGCCCAGCACATCCCTTCCCCAGACACTTCCTCCCCTTCCCAGGGCAGGTGTGTAGGAAGTCCCAGAAAGGAGGCACGGAGCCCATGTCCCTTTTTCAAAAAAGATGACAGCAAAATGATAGGAAACTAACAGACATGGCCCTCCGGAACGATGAACCCCATGTGCCTGCAGGCTAGCTGGAGCCAGAGGTGTACCAGCAAGCACTGCATTAGACAGTTAAATGCACACTCCCAACACCGGGGTCCCTCCGACTGCTCTGAGCTGGCTCCAGCTGCTGTCACTGTCCACTGAGAAAGGCCAAGTGCCCTTTGGTGCATCTGTTGGCGTAGTGTCCTTTTTCACCACACTGCGAACAGCAGGAAGGGGAGGAGGAGAGACAAACGACAGTTTTCAGATGTGATTTTCAACTAGAGCAGTGCCCACCAAATGCCCGATGGATCAGGGACAGGACTCTGAAATTCTCAGTGGTACAGATTCTTTCAAACTTGAGGGAAAGCAGACAAGTATGTGCAGCGGTGCAGAAACTGCAGCAAGTCAGGAGACAATCAGCACCCCACAGGGAGCCCCTACAGGCCCACACCTCACCCATGTGGACATGGGGCCTGCCCAGGGAGGGACTCTCAAAGTGGGTGGCAGTACAAAGAGAAGCCCATGGCACCTGAGCTCCCCCGCCTGTCCAGGGACCACGCTCTTCTGCACAGCAGGCCCGTCACTTACCTCTGAGCCAACGTCTGGGGCTCCCTGGCAGGAGATGGGGAGGGAACAACACGAGAGAAGCTCCCAGACTCCCCCTACTCGGGGGAGCCAGTGCAGTGGACAGAGGGTGAGCTGCCTCTGCAGTTTTCCCTCCTGGCTCTTGCACACTTAAGCTACCCTGGGGACAGGTTCTGATCACAGGATCAGAGAGATGGGACAGTGGTCACTTAGGTGAGTGGAACTTGCAGAGTGACACCTGTGATAAATCTAGCCCTGACCCTGACTCTTCCTGGCTCTGATATCCAGTCCCTTCTGTGGCTTCTTTTCACTTATGTGACTCCTCAAAAAAGCAGAAGGGAAGTAGGAGGAAGCAAGCGGCAGCCTCAAGCCCCGAACAAAGGGCCAACTGCGCTAAACCCCCCCTCCCAGTCTCTGCCTGCTACGTGCAACAAAGGTTCGATCACGACCCAGCACTCCTGCCTGTGGCGTTCCCCTGAATCTGCAGGCTGTTTTCACGTCTGTCTGATCTGTAGGTGTGACTTTTGCATGTAGGAGTGGCCCGAGTAGCTGCCAGTCGGCCCGTGAGCTGGTATGATGACCAGAGGGAGGGGCTGAGAGGCCCACTCACAGCACTCTGCTCTCCACCAGCCTCCACAGCCGATCCTGGGGTCCTGAATTTCCATGCGGCACCTCCAGTGTTACAGTGTGATGTGCCTGGCATAGAGGTAGTCTGGTGCCCCCAGCAGTGCCTTTCTAAGATTAAGACTTAGGAGAACTTGCTTCCCAGAGGCAGCCCTACTGAACAGTCCCAGAGGGCAGCAAGATGACAGCTCAGCCACCCTGGCCTGCTCTGCAAGGGCCTTACCTTCCCACCTCCTCATACACCCCTTTCTGTGTTCTCAAATTTCAGGGCTTGGGCTCAGAAATCCCCCGGGAGGCCTTTCCCGAGTCCATACGCTTTTCCTTTGAATATCTTTGGGCACTGGCCTTCCCTGCTGCTGGGAAAGAGCTGCTCAGTGAATACCTGAGGGCCTGGGTAGTACCCTGTGGCTCGGCCTGTTCTGAGGGCAAACTCTATGAATAGTATATGCCTTCTGACTTGGGCCTTCCTCTTGCAGGCATGGACTCTAAGGCATCAGTAGACCAGAGCTTGCAAACATCTGAGTGTCAGAATCAACACTGTTATTAACAGCAAAAACTATAAATAATTATCTACAGAGAATTGGTAAAACAAGATGTGGATGTTATTATTTTTTTTTTTTTGAGTCGGAGTCTCACTCTGTCGCCCAGGCTGGAGTGCAGTGGCTGCTCCCGGCCACCGCAGCCTCGACTGCTGGGCTCCGGTGGTCCTTCCGCCTCAGCCTTCCAAGTAGCCAGAATTATAGGCGCGCGCTACCACGCCCGGCTGATTTTTTGATTTATTGTAGAGATGAGGTCTCGCCAAGTTGCCCAGGCGGGTCTCGAACCCGCGGGCTCAGGCAATCCACTCACCTCAACCTCCCAAAGGCGCGGGATTGCAGGCTGAGCCACCGAGCCCGGCTAGATGTGGATGTTATTATGCAGCCCTTGAAAAAGATTAGATTTCCATGACATGGAAGAAGCCACTGGATATTGTAAAGAAAAAGATCAGAGTGTTATGTGGATCAGGGCCCTGTATATGTTAAAATATATATTATCCTTGATATTGTGTGAATAAACTTTTTTTTTGTTCGTTTTTTTGAGTCAGGGTCTCATTGTCACACAGGCTGGAATGCACTGACATGGACCACAGCTCAGTGCAGCCTTGAACTCCTAGGCTCGAGCGATCCTCCTGCCTCAGCCTCCCAAGCAGCTGGGACAACAGACATGCACCGCCGCACTGGCCAATTTTTTTTTACTTTTTTGTACAGAGGTGGTCTTGCTACGTTGCCTGGGCTGGTCTCAAACTCTTAGGCTCAAGCAAGCCTCTGGCCTCAACCTCCCCAAGTGCTGGGATTATAGGCATGAGCTACTGCACCTGGCTGAGTAAAACTTTAGAATAGCAAGTTTCCAAATGCAGTCGGGGCAGGGGGTGGGGGTTGTCTCTGTTGAGGTCTGCCAAATATAAGGAGGTACTGAAAGCAAAAGGTGTGAAACCACAACACGTCGAATAAAGTGGCTGTTTTAGAAGTTTTCACACGCAGCATGTACTAATTTTGTACTTTATGTTTCATAATGCCCAAATCTGAAGTCTTTGTGGACCTAGTTCTGTTGTTAGAATGACTCCTTGTATGTTTTGTGATTTTAGTCATAAACTCATTCTCCAGAACTCTAGCTGTAGGAATTGTGTGGCTTGGCTTGAGAACATACTCCTCAAAGAGCACTTGGGGTTGCGCCTCCTACCAGGTGCTGGGGTACACCAATTTTATTGAAAAACTCAGTCTGTAACTTTTCAGCCCTCAACAAGGATATAAATACCGGCCCAAACTCATGTAAGGACTTGCCCCAAACTACAAACTCTCAAAGGATTTTTCTTACCCCCACCTTTTCCTTTCCCACAGAGCCAGGGATGAGAAAGACAAGCTTTTTAGTAGGTTTTTTAAAAGTCGCCCTTTCCGTGAACATCCCCTCTTTGTACTTGGGGAGTAGTATTCTAATTCAACTTCCAGTTCCCTTGGGTTTGTCCAGGCAGGATGTGAGGATGCTTTCAGGGTCACCCTTCTCTAGATTTGTGTGTCAGGGTTGGTCCTAGCTTCTTGAAGATTTCCCTTACTTTCTTGCAAGTGCAATTCATTCAGCAGCATGTTTTTTTTTAAGTGTTTTTGTGGTAGGAAGTAGGATGGTCTCTAGCCCACCACAGTAGATTATAACTAGATTGCAACTTGATGGTTACAGTCAGCAAAATGTTCTCATTTTTCAAAATTAGACATATGGGGAATGAGGGAATGGCCACTGACAATGGCAAGGAGGTCCCACCCTGTCCCCCTGCCCCGGGACTCACCTTATAACAGGTAACCTGCTCCAGCGGCCGGGGTCCCCGGTTGCCTGCACTGCTGTTTTGACTCTGCATGACCCCGATGACCTGTGGGGTTCTCTGCTGATTGGGAGAAGAGTTCTGACTCGTTAACTGGATCAAGGAGGACGACCTTTGTAATGGCGGATTGTTACTTTGCTGGAAAGAGTTACACAACACGGTTTTACTGTGGAAAACACGTGCACGCAGACTACCAATGGGGAGAGGAAAAAAGAGGGCGGGACTTGTCCCGCATGACCATCAGGAAGAAGGGCTTCCACGATGGCCCAGCTCAGCCCAACTCAGGAAAGCGGGCAGAAGAGAAACATCTGGTGATGGTGGCAGGAGCGACTGCCCGAAAAACACCATGCAGACACACAAAAACGAAAAATAAAAGTAGAAAACAAAACACTAAAGAGACAAGAGGAGGTCTCTAGGGCAGTGGGGCAAGGGCATGATCAGGCCTTACTTTTGTTTCTGAGGTTCTAGCTTCAGGTCAGGATGAACGCTTGGTTCAGCCAGATGTTTAGCAGCCTACACGGCGAGCAACAGTCACAGAAAAACAGTTGGAGCCTGACACGCTGACCTGTGGTCTAGGGGCTGAGAGGGCCCTCCTCTAGGGAGTCACGCAAGAAAGAGGGGGATGGGGCTCCTGGTATGGGGACTGGACAGCCACCTCCCAACCAAGTGGGTTCCTGGCTGTGGTCCCTGTAAATGTCAGGAATTCCTGGCTTTCCTGACAGAGTTTGATTGGTGCCACCACCTCCTAAGGGTGGGGGTCCAGGAAGCAGACAAGAGCAGCTGCATCTCTTCCTGGCTGCTCAACCTCTAGCACAGAGGGGGGCAGGTGGGGCTTTGGCAGCTGGCCCAGAGCCCAACCAGGTAGGATGTAAGGCTTCAGGCTTTATGGGCCTGTCAGAGATGCTGCCTAGCAACCAGCCAGTCCTTCCTCTGGGTCCAGCCCCAACTCCCATAACCACACTCAGGATGCCTTTGGTTTTAGGGGGCTGCTGCAGATCCCCATTTGTCTGTGGCATTTCCCTTTCTCTCATGCTTGAGGGCACAGACCAACTGCTTCGTTTTGGAGCACCTAGTCTAAAAAAACAGAGCCAGCTAGGCCTGCAGTCCTTTGATCTCAGTTCCTCCTCCCAGCCTCCAGAACCTCCACAGGAGCAGGGATGGCGCTGGCCAGAGACCTAGTTGGTCAGTTTCTGCTCCCACACCTGCTCCTGTTCAGGAGGTATCACCTCAGACAAGTCCCTCCCTCTACAAATCTGAGTTTCCCCCTTTGTGAAAGGAAGGGTCCGGTCCAGAAGCGAGAACAGCAGACATGGGGTGCCCAGCTGTTTCTGCTCCAGCCCCAGAGGCAGACAGTGCTGCACCAGGCAGCCTAATCTCATGATGGGTACGCACATGCTGTCTGAACCCTGCCATCCTGCTGCTGGCCTTGCTGCAGGATGGCCTTGCTGAGATTCTGGGGCTAGAGGCCCTTCTTCTCTAGAGGGAGATGCAAACTGCTGTGCTCGTGACTTCTCTGCTGGAACTCGGGGACTCCCCTTCTCTCCCACCTCCTCCCTTCCCCTCCTCTCACAAGGTCTTGGCTGGGCCCAAGGCCAACTGCACACCCAGGCAGCACTGAGATTCTCTGTAGGAAGGGCACTTCCTTCCTTCAAAGGCTGAGGAGGGGCCAGGGCACGGTACCTTTGTTGGAGGCTGCGTCTGCTGTGGCAGTGGGGGCTGCTCAGTGGTTCCCATGGGCAGTTCAAATCGAGGGCTGGTCATCAGCAGCCAGAGGGGATGAGAACAAGACAAGGAGAAGGGGGATGAGGAGAGAGGCCAGGCCATGTTCTCTAATTCTGGCCCTAGGAAAATCTCACACAGCTGCCCCAGCACAAAGTGACATGAACCACACAGACAGGGGTGGGGACTGGTACTCTGCCTCTGGGAGGCTACAGGAAGGGTGGGGAGAACAGAACTGACTTGCCTGGGCTAGCCCCAGCTCTGGCCACATCAGGCTGGGAGACCTTGGGCCAGTGCTGCCTAGAAGTGGAAGGAACACACATGCCTGTGGCACAGCAGGGGCTGCACACATGAAGCGCACCCCTCCAAGGTCTCACTCGGGTGCCAGCCCCTCCTCTCTTGGCTACAGGCAGAATCACTTGGTGACACATACTCTCCACAGGCAGGGATATCTGAACCACCTGCCAGCACCTGGGCCTCATCTAGAAAGCAGAACCAAGTGGCAGCACCAGCCACTCGCCTACGGTGAGGCAGGGTCCAGGGTCCCAAAAGACCAGGAAGGAGACTGTACTCCTACTGCAGGTTCAGCAGTGTGGACAGATACAGCCGAGAGAAGGCAAAGCTCTTCTGCAGCCCCGGTGGCATCCCCGGTAGAAGCCCAACCCCACAACTACCCAAAGTGACAGATGTGCACTGGGATCCCAGGGACAAGGTGATAGACCCGGGAAAGGAATGTCAACCCTGCCAAGCAAGGATAAAGACCCGTCTTCAGAGAACAACAGACTTGCCTCTGACCAGAGTCCATCATCTGCCACCACGTGCCCTGGTCAGTGGCTACGCTCTGAGCCTCAGTGTGCTCATGTGTGAAATGGGGCCGTTCTCTCTTTGATACTTGCCTGTCACTAATTACTCTATATGGAACTCCAAGCTCATGGCCTCCATAGAGGAGGCTCTGAAACTTTGGTTCCCTTCCTTCAGGGCACAGGTTCTTAACTTAAAGTCCCTAAACTCCCTAAGTGACAGGCAAGGGTATCTGTGTGACTGTTCCCTGCCCATCTTTCATCAGATTCCCAGATGGCCCGTGACCCAAGGAAGGTTAACTGCTGGTTTAGGCAGAGCCACCTCTGGGCTCAGGTGGTCATAAGCAGTGGTTCTTCCCTTCTCCTGCCCCTGTCCCAGGCCCTGGTACTGACACCACCCAGTGGTGTCACCCAAAGCCCAGCTGGACCCAGGGCCCAGCTGGACCCAGGGAAGACACAGGGCAGCAGCAGGGCCTAGGCCAAGAGCTGGGGAAGAGGGTGGAAGTGGCTGGCTACTCACTGCATGAATTTACACGAGGGTCCCTCCGGGCAGAATCCCACGAGGTAATTCACACAGATGACTCTCCGCGTGTGCCGGTGCCTGCACAGGGGACCTGCCGAGCCAAGCATCTGGGTCACTCAGACATCCCCTCTACCAAAGAGCCAGAGCATGGCTCCAAATGCTGGCTTTGCCTCTTATTCATGTGGAACAGCGGGCAGGGACTCAACCTCTCACTGGTCTCCTTATCAGAAATGCAAGGCGAGATCACCATCCACATGGCATCCTTGGAGGTTCAAGGGAAAATGAGGGGTGTGAAAAAGCTTCACGAGTTGCAGAATGTTAGGTTTTGTGGGGCAGGTGAGACAGGTAGGGTGATGTCGCAGGTGGCAGTCTTCAGAGTCATGTGAGCAGAGGGAGGACTGGTCTCTAGCTGGGGATCCAGCCCGCCCCAGCACTTACCATGCTTGCAGAAGCCGCGGTCATACCAAGGGCAGTCTTTGATCTTGGACTCAGGGTCGATGTGCAGGAAGGGGCACTCCTTGTTGCTACACTCCCCTGCAGGGAAACACAGACATGTGGTCACCTGGGATGGCACCAGGAGAGCCGGGGCCAGGCCCACCTTGGCTTCTCCCAAGGCAAAGAGAGGCCAGGCAGTTCTTGTGTCCAGCCTCAGATGGTGAGCCCTGAGACCCAGAGTAGAGTGTCTCTGGGTCCATTTCCTGACCTGTACAGTGGGCCTGTGACGGTCCTTTTCTCACATGCATCAGTGTCGCAGGGAGGGTCAATGACGCCAGCCTAGCCTGGCATGGGGTACACATTCATCACAATTCATCACTCTGCCCCTTACCGAGGCAGAGGGACCATCCTGGGAATTATGGGGAGACCTAGACATACAAATGCATCTACTAGCCGGGCTCGGTGGCTCAGCCTGTAATCCCAGTGCTTTGGGAGGCTGAGGTGAGTGGATTACCTGAGCCCACAGGTTCGAGACCCGCCTGGGCAACTTGGCGAGACCTCATCTCTACAATAAATCAAAAATTAGCTGGGCGTGGTAGCACGCGCCTGTAGCTCCAGCTACTTGGAAGGCTGAGGCAGAAGGATCGCCGGGGCCCAGCAGGTCAAGGCTGTGGTGGCCGGGAGCAGCCACTGCACTCCAGTCTGGGCGACAGTGAGACTCCAACTCAAACGACAAAAAAAACATCTACTGAGACCAGGAAATGACTGTTCTGCTCTGATGGGCTCTTCACATCTACAAGCTGAGACACTTGTACACCTGCACAACTGACCCAGCTAGCCACCAGGACTGCCTCCCTGGGCGACTGCCCTGCCTTCAGGCCCATCCTCTTCAATCCATGTTGACAACACGGCTCAAATCCAGAAGAAATGCAAACTCCTCCACCAGACCCCCAGGGCCCTGTGTGGTCTAGCCTACCCTCCTCCTCAGGCTCAGCCTCCGCCTCTGCCACCCCAGTCACACCAGTCCGCTGCGGCTTCAAGATCACTCCTCTGCCAGGACTGACCCCTTCTGCTCTCAGCTCAGGAATTCCCTCAAGAGGCCTTCCCCAACTGCTCTGCCTAATGTAGATTCCATCATGTGGTCTCACCAGCTTTTATTTCCTTTGGAGTACTTTCATAAGCAATTCTCTTCTCTATTTGTCTCACTGGCTAATCAGCTGCTTCTTTCCCTGGGTCACAAGAGCAGAATTCATGTCTCCTCCGACAGTGCTTTGAAAGCGTGACACAGCTGGGCTCGGTGGCTCAGCCTGTAATCCTGCGCTTTGGGAGGCTGAAGTGAGTGGATTGCCTGAGCCCATGGGTTCGAGACCCGCCTGAACAACTTGGCGAGACCTCATCTCTACAATAAATTAAAAACTAGCCAGGCGTGATAGCGCGTGCCTGTAGTTCCAGCTACTCGGAAGGCTGAGGCTGAAGGATCGCCGGAGCCCAGCAGGTCGAGGCTGCGGTGGCCGGGAGCGGCCACTGCACTCCAGTCTAGGTGACAGAGTGAGACTCCAACTCAAAAAAAAAAAAAGAAAAGAAAAGAAAGCATGACACATGCCCAGCACAACTCAGCTTGCTGGGGTGGCAGTCCTGGGGTCAGAGCTAACCCTTATGGCAACAACAGGTCTGCTTCCTGGGAAACCTCGGAGCGCAGAGACCCTGGGGACTCATTCCATCAGGGAGCGCAACGGCTCTGCTGGGCTCAGCACCAGCCCCACTGCCTCCACCCTGTTCCTTGCTTCTCCACGCAGGCCACTCAGGGCAGCTGAGGCCAGGCATGCTCTAAGCAGACTGCCACCAGAGGACAACCTCAAAAGTATTACAAAGACCATACTCTCACAGAGAAGGAACCAACTCAGGCCAGGGGGCAATGTCCACGCCGGAGGGAGAAGTGGATTCCAGGGAGGAGGATACAGGCAGAAACGATGTCTCCAACGAGCTGTACTGCTCATTGCCTCACTGAGACCTGTATTAGTCTCAACGTCCCAGGGAATTTGAAAGTGCTCCAAACATGGAAGCACTGCAAAGATATAAGCAATGAGTGGAGAACGGCCATGACATCCCCGAACAAAAGAGCCAGCTGAGACTGCAAGCTCTCATCTTGAGATTGCAAAGAGAGAAACAGACAGAGATGCTGCGGGCACTGGGTCCCCTCTGGGTCTTGGTTCTAGAGGAGCCTCCAGGGTTCCAGGCACCTTACCGAACTTGGAGTAGAAGTAGCACTCAGGCATCTTGGTCATGTCATACTCGTGTAAGAACTCGCACTGGTCCCCTTTCTTGCACAGCCCTCGCAGCCAGTGTTTGCACACAACTGTCTTCTCGCCACTGATGTGGCGAAATGGGCACATGCCCCCTGCCAGAAAGATGGGGACAGGGTGTGAGGGGAAATGCGGCCCTGAGCCTGGGGGACTGGGCCTGAGGGAACTGGGATGCCTTCACCCACACCTCTCCAAACCAACTAAAGGCAGCATGTCCTGGGAGGTGGCAGAGGTGCTCCTGACAGAAGGCTACATGATGGTAGGCAATACATTGGCAAACGTTTTACATTTTAATAAGTTATTCATGATCTCACAGATAGTGCTGTAAGATGAAAACTTAACAAGCCTGGGGAGGTGAGTTTATTTCTTAATTGAATTAAAGAATAACCCCAGTGGTACAGACATGGAAAACTTGTAGGGACGGTAAAAGAAAGACTGGAGCTTGGGAAACCCTACAGGATACAGAGAACCACCAACAGAAGACCACATTCCAGGTCTTCAGTTAAAAAGTCTCCAAGAATTAAGAAAGATCAATTTCAGAATTGAGGAAATGTAATGGGTACACATGGGGGGTGGGTGCCTTCTGTGGAACAGAAGCCATTCTCTGGCAGGACCAATGAGAGGGCCCGACCAGAATGAGAAAAAGCCAGTTCCTGAACACCTCCATGCTGGGGCTTCTGTCTATGTCTAACTGTCCAACAGAATTCTCTGCAGTGAAAGAATGTTCTACATCTCTAGCCGGGCTCAGTGACTCAGCCTGTAATCCCGTGCCTTTGGGAGGCTGAGGTGAGTGGATCGCCTGAGCCTGCGGGTTCAAGACCCGCCTGGGCAGGCGAGACCTCATCTCTACAATAAATCAAAAAATCAGCCGGGCGTGGTAGCGCATGCCTGTAATTCCGGCTACTTGGAAGGCTGAGGTGGAAGGATCGCCGGAGTCCAGCAGGCGAGGCTGCAGTGGCCAGGAGCGGCCACTGCATTCCAGTCTGGGCAACAGAGTGAGACTCCAACGCAAAAAAAAAAAAAAAAAAAAATGCTCTACATCTCTGCTGTTCAATATGGCAGCCATATGTAGCTACTAAGCACCTGAAATATGACTAGTGTGACTGAGGAACTGCATTTTAAATGTTATTTGATTTTAATTACCTTAAATTTGAATAACTACATATGGCTAGTGGCTACTATTAATGTATTAGTCAATACAGAGACAGTTGTAGTGCCCTTTGTTAAGGATTAAGGATGGCTGTGCTCACTGGAGGTGTCAGAATTACTGAGTGAAGATGTGGGAATGAGACCAGGAGCCCAGTGGGGGAATAATGTTCCACTCGACAGTGTGACATTGACCTGAATGCTCTGCTGGAAGGTCTATTGCCTCAGTGGTAAATGACTGCATTACAGAAGCAAAACTCACAAAAACTAACCATTGAAACCACCCCCTTGCTCTGATTCTACACTCTCTAATCAAGCTTTTGATTAAAATGTGGTTTCCAGCTGAGCTCACACCTGTAATTCCAACACTTTGGGAGTTAGAAGCGGAAGGATTGCTTGAGGCCAGGAATTCGAGACCAGCCTGGGCAACACAGTGAGATCCTAGTCTATACAAAAATTTAAAACTGGCTAGGAGCAGTGGCTCATGCCTAAAATCCCAGCACTTTGGGAGAGGATCGCCTGAGTCCATGGGTTCGAGACCAGCCTGGGCAACTTGGCGAGACCTCATCTCTACAATAAATAAAAAAATTAGCCAGGCGTGGTGGCGCATGCCTGTAGTTCCAGCTACTTGGAAGGTTGAGGTGGAAGGATCACCTGAGCCCAGCAGGTCAAGGCTGCAGTGGCCGTGAGATGCCACTGCAACTCCAGCCTGGGCAACAGAGTGAGACTCCAAGACAAAAAAAAAAAAAAAAAATGAAAACTTAGCCAGGTGTGGTGGTACATGCCTGTGGTTCCAGCTACGTGTGAGGCTGAGGCAGGAGAATGTTTGATTCCAGGAGTTTGAGACTGCAGTTGAGTTATGATCACGCCACTGCACTCCAGCCTGGGCAGCTGAGTGAAGCTGTGTCTTTAGAAAAAAATAGTTTTGTAAATAAATTTTCCTACAGGGAGAAAAATGCCCAGACCATGGCATGTAAAGTCCTGCCCAGCTATACTTATCATGAATTAGTGAATAGACTGGCTCATACAGCCTCTCTTATGGCCTGGTTAGTGTGAAAAGACCTCACAAGACACACTATCATGGGGTCTTTTGATGAGACGCCACAGAGGACAGTGAAGCTGTATAGACACTGTAATAAGAAAGGCCTGGGGGAAGGCTGAGGCGGAAGGATCGCCGGAACCCAGCAGGTCGAGGCTGCGGTGGCCGGGAGCGGCCATTACACTCCAGTCTGGGCAATAGAGTGAGACTCCAACTCAAAAAAAAAAAAGAAAAGAAAGGCCTGGGTTCAAACACCAGGCTCAGGCACTCACTAATTCTGTGAACTTGAGAAAGTTCCTAAATACCTCCATGCTCGGGACTTCTCTCCATGTCACCAGTCAGCTCAATAGCCACAGGGGACATGAAGTGACAAGGCAGCCTCAGAGCCAGGTTCAGTCTTGTGTTTTAGGTTTCAGGTAGAACATCCCATCAGGTTCCTAGCCTATCCAAACCACTTCTCCATCTGTGGACACTGTCTGCAGAAAGTGATGCAAATCCCAGACCTGATAGCTTACAAATCTGCTAGGGGACAAGGAGGTAGAAGGGCATCTCAGGAGGCATGTCAGGAAGCCAGGAATTTCTTACCTTTGCCACAGGCAGCTTTCAAAAAGAATTCACAGACAGCAGCCCCCGACTCTAGAGAGAAGAAAGGAGAGACATCAAACAAAACTAGGTGCAACTGTTAGTGGTGATGTTTGAAGACAGTGGGAAAGAACTCTTCTAGCCTTTGGCCCATGAAGGTTCAGGGTACAGGAAACAGAGTGGCAAAAAAATGCAAGGCCCAACCAAGCAAGTAAAACATCTTACTTTAAACATCCCCTGCAAAATAATCCCCCGTACATATTGAAACCAGTCATTATTCAGTGCTTTGAGAGCCTCCTATAAGCAAGATGCTTTCAAGGAGTTAAGAGTGGGTGGGGGAAGAGGAAGGACGGAGTACAAGATCAAAGAAACAAATTAATTACCCCTAGCCCAGACCTTCCAGGGGGGCTAATTCACAGGCATCTTAACACAAGAGAATGATCTCACAGGAAGGACAAACAAGCAAATGAGGCCTCTGAGAATGGACAGGCTCCAGAGAAGAGCAGGTACCTCTGGGACGCTAGTCCAGAGTGAAGAATGTAAGTGGAGACATGGAGGCAGGGCTGCTCTTAATATGCAGCATCCACATACAATCATTAACGGAGCACATTCTTTCATTTCCATAGAGGCATAGTGTGGTGGAAGTCTGTGGGCTCCAGCAGGACAGCTGCTCTGCTCAGTCCAAGAATTTACCAGCCATGGCTACCGAAATAAACTGTCCTTGGCTTCATAAAGTATTCTCTATCAGTAGGCACTTTAGAATTGCTGAAAACTCACCAGTGACAACTCTGAAGCCCACTTACTTGCTCCCCCTTACCAACTTGCAAGAGAACCCTTGGCTTCTTGAAAGCAGGCAGATTTTGCTAGGACAGAACTAAGGTTACAGAAGTTAGGGAGTCACAGGGGTGTTACTACATTTGCATTCCAAAAAGTCTGAAAAGTCTTATATTAAAAAATGTATCATTTAAGAGTATTTCTGGCCAGGCTCAGTGGCTCAGCCTGTAATCCCGCGCTTTGGGAGGCCAAGATGAGTGAACTGCCTGAGCCCGCGGGTTCGAGACCCGCCTGGGCAACTTGGTGAGACCTCATCTCTACAATAAATCAAAAAATTAGCCAGGCGTGGTAGTGCGCGCCTGCAGTTCCAGCCACCTGGAAGGCTGAGGCAGAAGGATCACCGGAGCCCAGTAGGTTGACGCTGCGGTGGCCGGGAGCGTGCCACTACACTCCAGTCTGGATGACAGAGTGAGACTCCAACTCAAAAAAAAAAGAGTATTTCTGGTCTCTCATTCTTTTCAGAAGTTAGGGTTGCTTCATTCCTTAAAGTCAGAAATCTATAGTCTTGGGGACTAGGTCTAAGGTGGGAATGGGATAAAAGTATGCCTTAAGGGCAGAACTGACAGCTCTTCCCAAAACTCAGGCAGGAATGAAGCACAGGGACTAGTAAGGAAGGGCTGTGGCCTCACTAGGCTTTAATATACTGAACAAAATTACTGACAAGCAATAAGTACAGAGGGTGAGCCGGGCTCGGTGGCTCAGCCTGTAATCCCGCGACTTGGGAGGCTGAGGTGAGTGGATTGCCTGAGCCCGCAGGTTCGAGACCTGCCTGGGCAACTTGGCGAGACCTCACCTCTATAATAAATAAAAAATTAGCCGGGTGTGATAGCGCGTGCCTGTAGTTCCAGCTACTTGGAAGGCTGAGGCGGAAGGATCGCCGGAGCCCAGCAGGTCGAGGCTGCGGTGGCCGGGAGCGGCCACTGCACTTCAGTCTGGGCGACAGAGTGAGACTCCAACTCAAAAAACAGTACACAGGGTGCCTACTGAGTCTGAAGCCTAGGCTGGGGTAGCACCCATGATTAGGCATGTCCCTGACCCTAGGAACAGGTATGTGGGTCCCTTGCCACTGCACCTGTTCTCACAGGCTTGTCAATTTGTGGTACCGGTGGGAAAAGAGTGGGAGGGAAACAGGTGCCCCTCATGGATGGTTCCATGGTCTCCAGCTAGTGCCATCAAGACAGGAAAAGGTCAAGTCACCAAATGACTACATGTGTTGAGGGGTAGGTAAGAGAAAATGTGTGTCTGAATTTGAGCTACTTGCAAGAGGTGTACAGTGGTGACAGTGTCAGTGAGTGTATAAAATAAGGTAGTTTGATGGATGTCTCAGGTACAAGCACTATCTTGTACAAAATTATCAGCATGAGGGGACAGACTCAGAAGTCATACGTGCATGTGAAGGTGTGACCGCCTGAGCAAAGGGAGCTGCAGGCACCGGTGAGAGACAGCACACAACAGAGCTCATCAGGCTCTGCCTGGGCCTAAGTTTCCTCATCTGTGCATTAAACACCAGCGATCTCTAAGAGCCCCTTGGGCTTTTTAATGCTACAACATTAGATTTCAAGTATGTTCAGAAATGGCAGACTATATGAAGAAAACTGCTGGTTCCTTGTAAAGTACAAGATATCCCACCAAGTCGGGGGTGGGGCAGAAGACACCATGTGAGGCGGGAAGAGTGAAGGGAGATCAGGCCAAGGGTCCATTCCAGCTGTCTCGGTCTGATGACCCAGAGTTGGGGTCCAAAAAAAGTGAGAGACGGGCCCAAAACTGAGGATGAGTGCACTTCAGAATTATGTGAACAGACGCACACGGTCCTACCTTCCTAAAGATTACTCAGGGGTCCCGAGACCCAGGGAGAGCGTTCTGGTGCCGTGAAGGGGGGGGGGGGGTTTGTCCTCAGGACGGAATAAGAAAGAGTCCCAGGACCACAGAGGGGGGTCTCGGGACTAAGGGGGGAGGAGTCCCGGACCACAGAAGAGAGGGTCTCAGGACCGAGGGGGAGGAGTCCTGGCGCCACAGAAGAGGGGGTCTCAGGATCGAGGTCAAGAGTCCCAGGACCTCAGAAAAGGTCTCAGGACTGGGGCAGAAAGAGTCTCGGAGCTACAGAGGAGGAGCTCTCAGGACCGAAAGTCAGGAGTTCCGGGTCCGACTCCAGCTCGCCCGCCCGCCCGGGCCCCTCGCTCACTGTCCATGCCGGGGAAGGGCAGCGGCTGCGCCCCGAGCTGTTGCTCCACCGCGATCTCCAAGTCGAACTTGATGTGGTCCACGCTGGCGATGAGTTCCTGCATGGCGGCGGCGGCGGCCCCCCGGCCCGGCTGCCCCTCAGGTCTCTCGCCGCCCTCACACCTCTACCCGCCGCCCGCCCCGCAGCTCGCAGACCTCCTCCGCCTCGTCTCGCCGCCGC